GCAAAGTGACTATCACGGTGATAGGCCTCTCTCTCTCTCTCTCTCTCTCTCTCTCTCTCTCTCTCTCTGTGTGTGTGTGTGTGTGTGTGTGTGTGTGTGTGTGTGTGTGTGTGTGTGTGTGTGTGTGAGCAAAATGACAATCACCGTGATACGCCTTGGTCCGTGCAAATGCTGTGAGCAAACCACCGTAATAGTCATTTTGCTCATAGGGACCGACAGACAGAGACAAAGGACAGAGACAGACAGTCAGAGACAAAGGACAGAGACAGACAGTCAGAGACAAGGAACAGAGACAGGCAGACAGACAGACAGGCAGGCAGGCAGACAGACAGACGCGAAGCGTTGGACACAGCGTGGGCCTCGAGATCTATGTTCTTCTTCCTTCCACCGTCTTCCTGTGAGTAGAACGCAACGCTGTCATTACCGCTGTATCTAGACTGAAAGTTGCCCCGAATACAGCCATAGTGAGCGTGCCTTCTATTGGGCGAAGACGATAAGTCGTCGCAGTATACAGCCATACAGAAATCGACCATATATTTCTTGTCCAGATCCTCTCGATGGATTATCTTCATTAAAAGAGAATACATTAATTAATCCATCAATCAGTCAATCAATCAATCAATCAATCAATCAATCAATCAATCAATTGTGCTACTTTTCCTTTTCTGAGTTGCTCTCAGATTTCTTCTCTTTCCGTCTCATGGTCGCAACATAGCCAAAAATAGAACACGTCATCATCATAGGGCCTCGCTCCACTGCACAGCATTCTAAATGTATCTGGAGATGATAATGGCCCTGATTCATTCAAAATGCTGGATACGTCTGAAAGCATCTGGTGCAGAAAACATCGCTCCACTGCACAGTATTCCGAATTAATGTGGAAATGACACTGGCCCATTCATTCAAAATGTTGGATACGTCTCTGGTGCAGAAAATGGTACACATACATGTAGAGAATGTCGAGTACTGGAGCGAGGCCCATACTTCCTGTCCCGATCACGGATAGATTCTCTTCATCAAAAGCTTTTTTTTGTTTTCCCATCGAAAACGATTTTTCTTTTTTCCCCCTCATCGAAAACGGTTCTTTTATTTCTCCATCGAAAACGATTCTTAATCATACCCCATAACAAAGACAACTCACGCCACGTCACGCCACGTCACGCCACGTCACGCCACGTCACGCCACAGCACGCCACAGCACGCCACAGCACGCCACAGCACGCCAGGTCACGCCAGGTCACGCCAGGTCACACAACGTCAAGCCACGTGGGGCCACGTGGGGCCGGCATTTGTTTTTTTCGATACTCAATTCCCGTGCGCCGTAATACTTCCTGTCCCAATCACGAATATATTTTCTTCATCAAAAACGATTCCTTTTTTTCCCCATCGAAAACAATTGCTTTTTTTTTTCATCGAAAACGATTCTAAATCATACCCTGTAACAAATACAAAGCAACGCAAAAAAAAAAAAAAAAAAAAAAAAAAA